TGGTACATAAGAGAATGCGGAAAGAATAGAGAGACTGGCGGTTGGGGGCAGTGGTGGAAGTAACAAGATACAAATACTGCATTATTGGCCTCAAGATTTGGGTTTTTCTGGGGCATTTATATTATAATTGGGTGCCTATATTCCTTCTTTTTACTTCCACTCACTGCGTTTGTACGCCATTGTACTTCAGTGGTTCTCCCAACTAGTTACAGAATACCACCGACAAGTTAGGAGGTGTGCATCTCCACAAACGAGGATTCAATACGATTCCAGGATGTAACGATTTTAAATTGTAACGATTTGATTCGGTGAGATTACAGTTCGATTAAAAATCACGTTTGAATAGAACGAACGCAACGCTCTGCTAACGGCCATACTGTCCCAGTTAATTAAACTCAAAGGAAATAACAAATCATCGACCATTCCTCTTTGCACAATATCTTTAAATGGTCCAGCGACTCTCCTCTCCACTCTCCTCTTTAGCTTCTTCCACAATTTTTGGGGTTGAGGTCTGGGGACTGAGATAGCCAGGGGAGGAGCCTGATTCTGTCTCTGCAACAAAAGTTGAATTAGTCTTCAGTTTTTTAACAGATCTTAACCACGGGTGCGCCGTTGAATAAGGAGGGCACTGTATATTGAATTGTTATTAGTGTTTTTTAAAGAATATTTGGCGTTTGTAAAATAAGGAAACTAATTGTTTTATTTTGTTTTTTGTCAGTTTACAATGGGCTATTTTTTTTTACCCCTCCGTATGAGTATTATCTAAGTTAATATAAGAGAGAAACCATTTTTGTGGAGAGTTTCTCTCTCTCTGCCAAGATAAAATATATCTTATACAACTGCGAGAAAAAGAACATTTGTACTTTCTAATTAAGTGCATTTCAGAGTCTATACAGTACTTCAAAAAAATAATAATAATCAAGTACAGGAGCTGAATTGGACACATCTTTTTTTTCTAACTGCAAAGGGCGAATTCTTAAGCCACCTCTGACTTTGGGTCATTAAACACTCACATGAAGTCCAAAAATGACTAAATAAAGGCCATAAAAAGAAAGAGACAACATTGGTCAATTGCAAACAAACATGCAGGGTACAGGAAGTCAACACGCTTCCTCTGTTGAAGCACTTCTCCTCTTCTAATGCTTCCTCTGTGCCATAACATGGAAAGAACAGTTAATCTCCTCCCAGTGTTTTCCGCAGTCATGTCACCACGGTGACGGGGAGGAGTGGAGTGAAAACACCATTTGGCACACTCATCAATGTTTAATTTCCATCCGTGGGGTTTTTGGTAAACAAACCCTTCCGTGCCCTTCGACCAAGGCAGCCTTTGGAGAAAACAGGCGAAATGGTGTTGATTGATCATTTTTAGCCACTTTCTGTTTGAATATGTGTCGTGTCAGTGAAAAAGGTGTGACTCAGGGTTTGACATTAATGGTGGCCTAGTGGCCAATCCGTGACTGTGTCGAGCCACCTGATGTTCACTGAAACTGGCCCAACCAGGCTGGTACAAATTTCATAAATAAAAATGATGAAGTCAACATGTTATGCACCCCTCCCCCCTTTTTTTATTTTTTGCGCGCGTCAGGTTAAAGCCTTCCTTAAGGAATGGCTTGAACAAGCTATCAAGACCAAAAAATTCCAAATCTTAAATATTCACTCTCCTTCAGGCTTCATCCGCACCTCCCACCATCTGTTTCAATGGGAACCAAGGGGTAAGTGAATCCTCCCAACGTAATCTCATTTTAAAAAAAAGGAGAGAGAGAGATTTCATACACTTTCTGATTCTAATCCTTTGTATGTTTGTGCCCCCGACGTAGAAAATCACAATTCCCTGCTCCAAGAACGGCGGTGATGCCAGCGTCTTCATGTTCGGGGTCACCAACGTTGCTCGCGACAATCCACACGGCAGCTTCGACTGCATCCAGCAAGTCGGCTCCGGGTGGGATTAAACACTGCGCGATAACCATCTGGCCATAGTCTCTCGTGTCAGAAGTGTCAAATTTTAATTCTGGTTGGAGATTTACCCAATTAATGTTCCCGTATTTTTCGGACTACAAGGCGCATTTAAACCCTTTAATTCTCTCAAACGTCGGCTGTGCGCCTGATCATTAGGTGCGCCTGATGTATGGATGTCAAATTGAAGTTGAATAAAGTTGGCCTATCTGCTGAAATAATTAGTTTCCCTTAACGTGGAGGAAATGCACCTTATATTTTCAGACCCTATGGGCTGAAAAATACGGTATTTTAAGATTATATTTATCTCTATTTATCACTGCAGCTTCTCTAATGGGCTGCATTACGAACCCATTCAGAAATTACATGTTTGTTAAATTATTATTAAATAAAATATATTTTACCCTTAATTTTATGTAATCATACATACTATTACGATCTGCAATTTAAACGGTGATAGGAATTTTGGGCCAAGCCCCTCGGTTCGTCCTCAACCACTCACCAGTCAATTGCACGGCACGCGCAGAGAAACGCGCATTCGGTCTGTTAGCCATAAATGCTAACAAAGCGCACGGCGGCATGCGTTGCAGGTCGGCGCAGGAGCTGTCATGTCTGGGCGTGATCCAGAAGAAGATGACGGTGAAGGCCACGGACGACTCGTATGACAAAGCCCTGCAGAGCATGGCGCAGGCCGAGGAGGAGAACCGCAGCCGGGGGGCCATCGTCATTAAGCAGGGAGGTCGCTTCAAGCAAGGTGGGACGCCGTGGCGGCCCTGTCGTTGTAGGATGTCGCTAGGGTACATTTCCGAATGGGGAATTTTGAAAATGTAAATCGTATCTTGCCGCAAAAATGATACTTTCACTGCTATGGTCTGAGCACAAAGATGCCTTGCATTTTTTTTTTTTTTTTGTCCGCTGACAAGATGTCTGCTGCCGCCCTGCTTGCAGGAAAGAAGGTGACAGTGCGCGCCCCGGCCCCGGCCTTGGCGAGCTTGACCAAACCCCGCCAGACGGCCAAGTCGCTTCTCCCAAGCGGCGGCATCAAAGCGGGTGCCATCACGTCCAAGGGCAGGAAAGGTGCGGGCGCGTCCACCGGGAGGTGCGGCGTGCAGCAGCGGCCCATCAGAGAGAGGGTGACGCACCTGCTGGCCCTCAGGCCATACAAGAAGCCGCAGCTCCTGTTGAGACTGCAAAAGGATGGACTGACGCCGCCTGATAAAAACATGCTGGACTCCGTGCTCAATGACGTCAGTACCTTCATTTTTCCATGATACTCTTCAAGGTGGTGGGTGAGCTTTTGAGATGCACCCGGGACTGGTCGGCGACCACTTGCAAAGTCAAATTGAGTGACGATATGTTTATTGACAAATTTTAGGAGAATAATGGACCAAATTAATGCCGGGTGACCCCAATTCAAGGCGAGGCAGCTTAATTTATAAAGCGCAATTCATACACAAGGTGAACTCAAAGTGTGTGCTTTAATTAAAAATGCATTTGAAAGCATTAAAAAAAAGAAGTGAAGACACAAAAAAACTAAGTACAGGAATAAAGATTGTAAAGTACAAGAAAAAGATATATTTTTTTTTATGAATATTTTAAATGACTTCACTCATTTGTCTTTGGAGTCCAAATGTTTACCTTCAGTGAACAGTTGTCACTTGGAGACGTGTTAGATATCGCCACGCGTAATCTGTACAGCTGTGATAGTCAATATTGGGGCTCTGAAGAATTTGACCGAAAGGTAGTATCTTGAGGCTGAACAAAAGAGGTCAAAGAACTGACCTTTGAGGGATCCCACATCATGATTCCATGAGATTCAAACGTCCAACTTATTTCCTGAACCATTTTAGGACCGTTCCATTTCGTCCTACCCAAGTTTCCAACCTGTTCAACACCATGTAATGATCTGATCAATTCAATCTCTATTGCAGACGCAGAGGGTCTCTATCGATAAAAATACAAATACAAACAGATAAGGTCACAAATCAAATAAAAGATGGAAAATAGTCCATTGAGTTGATGTCAACAGAGCGCCCCAAATTTGCTCCATACTTGAGCCAGCTCTGTTGTAAACCGCTTATGTGTTTTGGGGTGCATTGTGTGCATACAGGTGTGCCAACTTAATAGGCGAGACAAGACCTTGGTGCTGAAGGACAGTCTGTACAAGGACCTGCAGAAAGACTGGCCCGGTTACACATCAGGAGACCAGCAGCTGCTCAAACGGATCCTTGTTAGGTAGCTTACAAAAGTCGGCTGTATGTGTCTTTGTTTTTCAAATGAAGCCCAGTGTGTAGATGGTCAGAATCTCGGTTCTGAGGTTCTGGATTTGAATTTCAGGCTTGACTGGGTGGCGGTTGGGTCCCCACGCTCGCGTGGTTTTCTCCCAAATTTAAAAGTATGCCCATTTCTTTGAAGACTCCTGGTAAATACATTCTCTGTCGAGTTTTAAGTCTGGATACTGACCTGGCAAATCGTAATCCTTTCATTTCGATGAGCAAAAGCGCGGCGGGAAACGGACGGATGGCTAACCGCTTCACTGTTCCTGTGCAGGAGACTGTTCCAGCCTCAACAGAACCTCCTCACCGTCCCTGAGACCCAGGTGAGCCCGCTGCGGGACACACCGAACTCGTCGCCGGCGCACCGTCCCAAACCCGCCCCGGTCGAGGAGTACACCGACCCTCTGGCCAGCAAGAAAACCCGGATATCACACTTGACCCGCAAAGCCGCCGCCGCCGTCCATTCTGAGCACTCGCTGGAACCCCGCAAGCTTTTGGACTCCTTGGCGGCGGCCTGCGGACAGGAAGTGGCTCGAGTAACGGCTGGCCCACTGCCTGACGTCGACAGAAACACCGTTAAAAGGAAGAAAAGCAAACACAGAGAGCAGGTGAGCATGAGCACGCGTCGCAATCATTGACAGCGATTCTGAACCGGTGGGTCGCGGATCCATTTTTTTGGTAGCTCGCGGACGGCTAGTAAAAAGGCAAAAAAAAAAAATTGCACGTATTAGTATTCTTATTTTTTCCAGAGGAGTAGTAGTACTGAAGCATACAAAGTTCAAACATGCTTAACCAATATTGTATGTTCTGCCACTCTAAACAAATACAGTGCAGCTCAGCCTTTGGGGAAAGGACGTCGTAGCCGCTTTTGGTTTTTTTGTTTTTTGTACATTTTGCCACACAACTTGCGCTTTCCCCTTCTTGTTCTAATGTTGTCCCTTCAGAAGGAGGAGGAGAACGGAAGCAGCAAAGAAAGGAAAACAGAGACCAGTTCGACCAATCTGACGACTCAAGTTGCGGTGGACTGTGCAGGTAGGTGAGCCTGTTTGCATGCAGTTTTCGCAGTACACAAATTCCTAGTCGGGTCGCTCGATTCATTGCTTTTCTATTCCTTAATTGCAGTTTATTTGTCCGGACACTTTTTTAATATAGATTTTACGGCTTCCATAGTTCAAACCTTGCCTCGACTGACTGCTTACACGAACACCGTAGCTGCTAGTTTACAAAAGCACAATCTGTGTTGCCAATTGAGCAATTATCCAGAACCCTCGAACGACTTTTTTTTTTTTAATTTAAACTACAGAGACTTTAAATCCCCAAAGAAACTGATGAAATTTGCGGGCTAATATTACGTTGTTTTGGTTACATAGCGAATCACGTTGAATATTTCCAATGACATTTACACGCAAAGATGCCAAGTGTTCCAGTTTGGCAGTATTTTGGCACCTGATCTGATCATTGTTTACTGTAATACAGATTCATTGATTGCTTGAGTTTGTTAGAAAATACATGGGATGAGGACCTTGACAAAATAATCGCAATATTTAGAGAGAGAAAGAAAAAAAAACTTTATTTTTCAGCCTTAATCGGGAGAAATAAAATTGTGAGGTGGGGGCACGAAGAGCACAAACTTTTCGAATCACGTCATTGTCTGTCAGTGAAGGGGGGAAATCAATTAAAAGTTGAAAAAATATTTTTGGTGGGTCTGTGGGGGCTTTAAAACAATATCGGCCAGCGCTAATTTCTCGTATTTCATGTAGTTTCGTAACCCATGGTACTTTGTTGACAGAAGCTGCCTTTGTGACATTTGGCTCAGATGGCCTTCAAACAGCCGAGCAGAACACGGACTATTTAGCGTGAGTAGACGATCACCTCCACGAGACACTGCAACTTTACTCGGTTGCTCAAGTTCACAATTGAGGCGGGCAGGCACTCCAGACACCCTGAACCGGTTGCCAGCCAATCGCAGGGCACACAGAGACGAACAACCATCTGCGCTCACACTCACACCTAGGGAGAATTTTAGAGTGTTCAATCAGCCTGCTGTGCATGTTTTTGGCATGTGGGAGGAAACCGGAGTACCCGGAGAAAACCCACACCGGGAGAACATGCAAACTCCACACAGGAAGGCCGGAGCCGGGATCGAACCCACGACCTCTGTACTGTGAGATGGACACGCTAACCATTCATCCACCGGGCTGCCTTGTTTGTGGCATTATGTTTGACTCACATCAGCGCTTGTCACTCGAATGAAATATCCTTTCATTTAAATGGTCTTCAAAATTGTTTGTTTGCACAAAGCCCCAGTTGTAAATTGGAATTTGAGTACTGCACCTCGATCCAAACACACACAAAAATTAATAAATAAATCAAAGGAATGCTCAAGGAATTTTTTTTTCTGCCTCGGGTACCCGTTTATTTGGTATTCACCGTCGGGAAGACAAGACAAGTCAAGCCAGCTGCGGCAACTATTGTTTACGCGATGCGTCTTGGTAACATGCTTCCAGCGTGATGGGAGTGCCAACTTCAAAATGAAATTCTTCCCAAATACAGCGACGCACGATATCAGTGCCTTGGTATGATTTCATTTTGAAGTTGTTCGCGGCAGAGCGTGGTGGTCATTATGTATGCATGAACGCAGTTGAAAGGGTTTAAAAAAAAAAAGATAAACGCAAGTATCTCGTCGAGCCCAGCATCCACACATAGTCTCACTTTTCTGATTGTTGCGGTCGCATGTGCAGGACTTACACGGAGATCAGCAGCCCCGCTCAGCGGCAGCGCTACAAGGAGGAGTTCAACAAACAGTACAGCGAGTACCGAGACCTGCACTCCCACATCGACGGAGTCACCCGCCAGTTCATGGAGCTGGAAACGCAGCTCAAGCAGCTCCACCGGGACTCGCACAAGTACAAGGTGAGACAGGGGAGCTGCATGTTTCCAGATCTCCTTGCATGACGTCGTGTGACACTTCACCGTGACTTTCATCTTTCTTACAGACGATTCACAATCAGATTGTCCAGAATTATCGGCAAATAAAAAAGGTTGGCCCTTCTAAAAATCTAATTTCTCCGCATGATTTTCCTACCAACCCGTCTGCATTTCTGCGTGACATCCCAGTCTCTCCCCCGTCCGCCTCTCTTTCCACCAGTCCAACCCCAGCTACAGCCAGGACCGCCTGCGCTGTCAGTACCTCCACAATAAGCTGGCTCACATCAAGAAGCTCATATCCAAGTTTGACCAGCAGCAACTGGAGCGACGTTCTGCCCCTAAGTGAGGAAGGAAAACCCTTTCCAGTGAACATCACGTTTAACAGGGCACCGGAAGCTCGAGTCTCGCTGCATAAATGGTCTCTCGCCGGCTGAGACGGGAAGCGCACTGACCGTATGGAGTGTGATGGTCGCTACTGCCAAGGACCTACGGCGCAGCAATCACAAGCAGTGAAGCATACGGAGTGACGGCGCTATGACAGAGGGAGGGGAAAAAAAAGTATTTTTTTATTGTTGATGTACACACTGAGAAGACACTGTTGTCCTTCTGATTTTTATCTTATTTTGGGGGGAGGGCGTGTGAAAGAAAAGCCTGCCAGTGTCGCTCTTATTTGTTGGTACATTTGGTGTTGTTATTCAAAGTGTTGATATATATATGTATTCAGGGATTGTTATTCAATGACTTGCCGGAAGCAAAAAGGATTCTATGGTTAAAAAAAAACAAAAAACTTTGTTGCATCCTACCTGTCTTACAGAACGCATGCCAATGAGTCTTCTTTGTGTATGTCATTTTTATTCACCTCTATTGCCTCGGTTATAATGAAACGGTGAAAAGAAAGCATAAAATCAGATGTGAATAAATTGCCGTTTGAATGTACTTATAATTCATACTGAGTCGCGTTTGTTCATGTTGCATGATTTGTTTTTAGTAGGAGCAGTTGGCGTACGTGGCCGTGGAGCCACGTCTCATGATATCCTTGTACAATGATTCTCAAAGTGATTCACATGACCATCGGTAGAGGGAAAGGGTAAGAACATGAAAAGAACAAGGATGCCGCTTCCTAAATATTTTTTTCCCCTTTAATGCCCCCCCCACACACAAATGTTATGTATTCAAAGCACGTTTTGGCATTTATATATTAAAACAAAAAAAAAAAAAAACAACTGAAGATACACACCATACAAGTCAAGTTGGTTAACCAGTTTGCTATGGCATGCTGGCGCAACGAGACCTGTCATTAGTGGTATGGGAAAGTCTCTCAACTTTAAGATACACACCATACAAGTCAAGTTGGTTAACCAGTTTGCTATGGCATGCTGGCGCAACGAGACCTGTCATTAGTGGTATGGGAAAGTCTCTGAATTACATCTCCAAACCACATGTTGCAGTGGCTTTATTGTTTTTTTATTCCAGTACATTTTGCTAGTACAGTTCAACTGTATTTAACTTTTAAGTACTGTATTTTATTTGAGCACTTATAAATGATTGTTTTCAGCCACATGTTGCAATGGCTTTATTATTGTTTTTTTATTCCAGTAGATTTTGCTAGTACAGTTCAATTGTATTTAACTTTTAAGTATTTTATTTGAGCACTTATAAATGATTGTTTTCAAACACTGCCACTTTTTTATTGATCATTTTGGTGGTACTTGGAGCGCCATGTTTTTTTTTTTCTTTGTTTTTTTTGAGTTGGTAATTAATTAGTGTGAAGGGTTTGGGAACAACTTTGCTACAATGTGTACTTTTTCTCCATAGGAATATGCACTTATTAGATGAGCCTTGTTTGGTTTAGGACGTGCAGACATAACTGCCATATTGAATTGGGAATCCCTGGCCGTCTCACTTTGGTTCCGATAAACTAGTCCAATTCTTTACGGTTATTGACACAGAGTGTTTACACTATAATAATAATACATTTAATTTGAAGCGCCTTTCACAACACCCAAGTACACTTTACAGACGAGCAAACAATAAGACGAATGAAGAATAAATAAAACCACAGATGTGCACTTTTGTATCTATAGTTATGATTATTATAATTGTATAAGTATTGGATATATCCCGGTTCAAGATGGCGGACAATTATTTACTTTTTTCTCCCCTATTCCCATTGGCCGTAAGTGACCAGTAGCTACGCCTCTCTAAGATCAACTCGAACGGTGATTGGTCCGTCGTCTTACTAACGGAACGTTCGCTCGATTAAGTTTTTTCCACTACGGTACTATCATTGGCCGTACGTTACCAAGTAGACACGCCCTTTTATCTCAAAACGTTAACTGATTGGTTTGTCTTGCCAGTCACGTGTCATGTAACCCCTGACCCAAACATTTGGTCTTCGCTCTCGATGGGCGAAGTCTCACTTAACCTCCTTTATTGTTGCGATTTACAGTCGAATAATGATCGCCGCTCGGTAATAGTTGAGCGCGTGGTGTCAATCGGCTAATTTGGCGAGCTTTTGCCGTAAATTTCGATTTTGTTGCCCGCTGGCTACTTTTGAAACAACGAGACTAGCTAGGTAGACTGCTAGCTTGTGATGAGGTAGTAAAATGGAGAACAAAACATTTTTTTATTGACAGGTCGCCCACCATCTTGTCATTGATGCATCTTGTCTTCGCAAGTCATGGCCGGCATACTTCAGGGGTCACTCCGACTGAGGACAACCCTCAAAGGGCCCTTGAGCATCTTCGGCTCGTCTTCAGCCTCAGGTGGGCTTTTACATCCTCCACAACCCGCCGGCCTACGTCATGGTACTGCCCGTAGAAGGACGCTCCACGACAGGGACGATGTGACCAAGACCACCTCGCCGGGAGCATCCCCAGAAAGGCTGCCGTTTTCCACAGTGACCCTGGAGGATCTGGATTTCTTCCGGAGGATTCTACCCGGCAGAACCATTACTGACCCCGACCTGTTGGAGTCTTGTAATGTGGACTGGCTCAAGTCTGTCAGAGGTCAGTTACGATGTACAGTATATATTTTTTTTTTCTCGTGGGAAACAAGCTCATGAAAATTGATGAATTGCTAAGCCCTATTATCAGTGACAAGTCAAAAATGTTTCTCAGTGATGTCTCTGCATCTCCTGCAGGTTCCAGTGAGGTGTTGCTGAGACCTCAGACAACACAGGAAGTCTCTCAAATTCTCAGGTTTGAAACAAATGGAGTCCAGTTGTTACCAGACGTTAAATTCTAACCCAAGTTCTCTGTATTTAACAGTTACTGTAACAGCCGTAACCTAGCGGTGAACACACAAGGGGGCAACACCGGCCTGGTCGGTGGCAGCGTTCCCGTCTATGACGAGATCGTCCTCTCCACCGCCCTCATGAACAAAATCCTGAGCTTTGACAGCATTTCTGGTTCGTGTCCACTCAGTCAAGATGTCACTGTACTTTCCCGTAACTGCTGTATCTATTATTATGACCGCTGAGTGGATTTTCTTCACTCACTCTGCAGGGGTCCTGACTTGCCAGGCGGGTTGTGTCCTGGAGCACTTGTCCGTCTACTTGGAGCAGCGGGATCACATCATGCCCCTGGACCTGGGCGCCAAGGGCAGCTGCCACATCGGGGGCAACGTGGCCACCAACGCGGGGGGTCTGCGGCTTCTACGCTACGGCTCCCTGCACGGCACCGTTCTGGGCGTGGAAACGGTGAGTTTGTGAAAAGTACGCGACACCTCTCTTTGGGCAGTTTTCCCATCCCCAAAGTATTTCACATCCTCAATTTGAAGCGCTGTCAATGCTTTCAGTGCATTGGGAAATATTCACAGTTCATCACATTTCATTTACGCGTGTATTTTTTTTTTAAATGCGTAATTCATTTACCAAAATTGCCTGAAAAAACTTTCATGTTGCCGTAATGTGATCTAGGTGCTGGCCGACGGTCAGGTGCTGGACTGCTTGTCCACCCTGAGGAAAGACAACACGGGCTACGACCTCAAGCAGCTCTTCATCGGCTCCGAAGGCACCTTGGGCGTCATCACCGCCGTGTCGGTCCTGTGTCCTCGCAAGTCCAAATCTGTTCATGTGATGTTTCTGGGTAGGCACACTTAATAACTCAGAGCCCCCCGCCCCCCGCCCCACAAAAAATGTTTTTTAAGCTCTAATTTGTCTTTGTAGGTTGTGAAACGTTTGATCAGCTTCTGAAAACCTTTCAGCTGTGCAGAGGCATGCTGGGAGAAATCTTGTCGGCCTTCGAGTTCCTGGACAGCGAATGTATGCGGCTGCTCAACACGCACCTCAAGCTGGACAACCCCATCTCTGGTACACTTGGGACGCCTTTCTCAAAATTTTGAGAACATTCGCTTTTTGTGAAAACAAAGGCAATCCGCAGAACAGTGACTCTGATGTCATCTGCATCCTGCTTAGGATCCAAACCGAAAATGCACTTTTGGGCCATTTGTCGCCGCCTACCAGGCAAGCATTAATGTTGATCCGTGCTCTGGCTTGAACTCTCTCCCAAGATTGTCCGTTCTACATGGTGATAGAAACGTCGGGCTCGGACGCGCGGCATGACGAGGAGAAGCTCCACAACTTCTTGGAGGAGGCCATGACATCGTCGCTGGTGAGCGACGGGACACTGGCGACGGAGGAATCCAAAGCCAAGGTGACTTATGAGTGCCCCATTTAAATTTTTTTTTTCCAAGTTTTCCGACTTCCAGGCCACTTGGTCCATTTCTTTGCTAAGTGGTGTCATGAGCAAAAATTTGACATACAAATGAGCTTTAAGCCGTCCGCCGTTAGATGGCGCCAGAGTACTTGACAACAGGCTGCCATCAGTTCTCGTTGAGTGTTTTGTGTTTGCATTTTCCACTTTGTGTGTTTGTGTAGAGAGAAATTGACCGTTTGAAAAAATATTTTTGGGGGGTGTGTGGGGGAGGGTTGAATGTCATTATTTCTGTCTCATGTAGGGCCTGACCGATATGGACTTTTTTTTCTTTTTAACCCGTATGTAGATTATTTAAAAAAAATATGAATTACAGGTAAAACAAAGCGATGGCATTTTCCTTCATTTTAATGGGGAGAGTTGATTATGTAAACATTTTTTTTTTAATTGTTAATATTTCTTTTCCGACGAAGGCGCTGTGGTCGATGCGCGAACGCGTCACCGAAGCGCTGAGGCACGACGGCTTCAACTACAAGTACGACGTGTCGCTCCCCGTGGAGACCATCTACCAGCTGGTGACTGACATGAGGGCCCATCTCGGGGGCCAGGCCAAGAGCGTGGTGGGATACGGACACATGGGTAAGTGATGGCAAAGACTTTCAGAGAATAAACGCGGCGAAAGCTGGATTTTCAAAACTCAAATGGCAAGAAACGAGGCGACATGATTGAGTGCTCCACTGCCGCTGTTTTTGGTCAGCAAAAAGGATCGGCGAAGAAATGTGTTGAACAAATGAAATGAGAGAGTTAAGAGTTGCTACCTTATTTATTTTTCTGATTGGATTTTCTGAAAGGAGGCATTTGTTTTTCTGAAGTGGATGATGTCTATTGGAGGGACATCGACTGCATTATTTGAGGAAATTTACCAACGTATCATGAACGGATGCAAAGGTTAAACACCTTTCTCTTGCTGTTTATTTTCTCGATTAGGAAAATCGGGTGTCTATTTGAGGGAGGTGTTTATTTTTTCATGAGTAGACAGCAAAAAAAATATTTCAGGAAGGGCTTTTTGTGCAAGTAGATTTTTAATTGGAGAGAAGGCCACTATTTATGCCAATGAGCTTGTTTCGGCCATACAGTAAGACTCTTTCCTCAGCATTTATTGAAGGGAGGAGTTTATTTTCCAAACGTGGATGTCTTTTCGAGGTAAGCCACTCTCTCTCGCCACATCAAGTAAATATCAACTCCAATTTGGCGCGAGGAACATATTTTGTGACTCGGCATCTATTTAAGGGAAGGTGTTGATGCAAATACACTCCGTAGCCGCCTCTTCTCTTCCACTGTGGCGCAGGGGATGGCAATCTCCACCTGAACATCACCTCGCCCACCAAAGACGCCAAGCTGCTGGCCGCCATCGAGCCGTTCGTGTATGAGTGGACGTCAGCCCGGCGGGGCAGCGTGAGCGCCGAACACGGCCTGGGCCTGAAGAAGAGGAACTACATCTACTACAGCAAGTCCAGCCGGGCGGTGGCCGTCATGGCGGGCATCAAGGCCATGCTGGACCCTCGGGGCATCCTCAACCCGTATAAGACTTTACCCGACAGATTGCTGTGAAAGTTGCGCTGCACTTCTTGAAGTGACTCGTGAACAGGAATTCATTCCTCCACTTCAATACAAGATGAGGATTCATTCCTAGTTTGCAGGTGGCCACTTTTCGACTCCTGGGGCCTCATTTATAACCGTGTGTAGAACAGTTTTGTTCATACGGCTGAAATTTTGTAGGTGTGCAAGTACAAAAAAAAGTGTCAATAAATGCCATCTGCTCTCAACGGCCGCGCATGTCTCGCCTCATTTGCATTGAAAAAGGCCCCCTGTTGACTATATTTAGTCTCGAAGCTCATACAGTGGTACCTCAGTTTATGAAATGAATTGGTTCTGGAAGAAATTGCTGAATTAGGAAATTTTGTAAATTTGCGCATAAATCCAAATTGATCAATCCCATACTTTGTGCGGGACTTTTTTCCCCCCCACGCACGCTTGATAAACGAAGCTCCTGATATGGCACCGACAAGATGAATGACACCACAACATTTCAAATCTATTTGGCTGGGTTCCTCTTGGCAACTTTTACAATTTGAGTGTTTTTGTTTTCTTTTTTTCTTTTTTATGGGAGCATTTATCATCTTGCTAACAGCTTGTCGATCGCCTTTCGCCACACCGAAGCCACGGATCGGAAAAGACGACATGAGTTGAAGAAGTCCACGGTCCTCCGCGTGGGTCAGTCCCCACAAGTCCTCAGAAGGCCACCGCGGGATTTAAAAAGGAAGACGGGTTCGAGCTCCCCCCTCGCTCTCACGAGTCCTTCACCTTGTCCAGGCAACTGTGAATCTTGTCCAATGTCTTCTTGATCCGCAGCGCCGTCAGCCTGGCCGACGGGTTCTGGTACCAGCATTCCTTCATCAGCTTCACCAAAGCCGACAGCGTCTAATCCAAGAAGAAGAAAAGTTCAAGTCCAGTATCGGACGTGAGATGAAATTGTACCCAAACGCTCATTCACCGGGAGGGGGGCTCACTCAAATGCTGGAGGGGGCCATATATAGATATTTTTTTCCATAAGCAACCCTTGGAGAGCCAAAGATAGTTGGATCTTCTGCACATGGGTCACCCAACTAAGCACAACTTTTTTTCCCCAAACGGTAAATCAGAAGACATTGCAGACGTCGTGCACATACCGGATCGGAGAACCAACGATTAGGAATGAAGGGCCTCTGCTGCTCCACGCACACCACCTTCCTCATGTCCTCGAAGCTCGGGTCGTTTGGCACCTGGTCGTAGAACGGAGGCTTGTAGTCTTCTACAATACCTGCGGGGAAAGATCAACTCAAGGTTTATCCTGAAGGAGGGGGGGGAGAAAAAAAAAAGTAGTTTCACCGTTGCTGTACGAGCGTCTGGCGATCTCCCACAGCACCAGCCCGAAGGCCCAAATGTCCACCCGCTTGAAGGCGTCAAAGCACTCTGTACGTAAGCTCTCGTCCAGGACCTCAGGAGCCATGTAGCGCTTGGTCCCCACTTTGGGGTTGTTGCCCACATCCAGGAGGTTATCAGCCTGAGAATGTGTCACCGCCAGACCTGGTACGTCCACACACACCAAAAAAAAAATATGAATACAGCGGACCCGTATGATTCGATTCTTTTTTCCCGAATGGTTTCAGCGCGAGCCCTCACCCAGGTCTGCGATGCAGCAACGTAGCTCCTTGGTCACCAGGATGTTTTTGCTCTTCAGGTCGCGGTGCGCGATGGCCGGCTTGCCCTCGGCGCCAAAGATCTCGGTGTGCAGGTGCACCAGGCCGCTGGCCGCCGACGCCGCCATGGCCAGGCCCTCGCACGTCTCCACGGCCACCCGCTGCAGGTAGTCGTACAGAGAGCCGTTCTCGTGGTAGTGCGTGATCAGCCACAGCTGCGTGCTGGAGTTGCGCGACGTCATGTCGGACGCCATGAAGCCTGCACGGGTGGGAAGGTGGAAAACACTCTCGTGTGTCACCCTTGGGGATTCTTGCGCAATCAATTTGGGCTGTCTTACGGCGTGACGTTTTGCAGAACAGAAGTGGGAATGGTAGAAGTCAAGAAATGTGGAAGGAGGAGATAAATATGGAAATGGTCTCTTCATTTGGGAATTTCACTGTGTACCGTACTTTAAATTTGATTGGATTGAATCCTCAACCATTTCAGTTGAGAAAAGTTGTTTCGGCAGGACAAAAAAAAAAAAAAAAGCCTTTGCTCCTAAATAACTTGCAGAAAGTATGTCCTCTGCGCTTCCATATTCATTCGGAATGACTTGATCCCTACCCAGGATGTTTTCGTGTCTCAGGAGCACAGTGTTGTAAATCTCGGTCTCGCGGAACCAGGATTTTTCGTCCCTGGAGGAGAAGATCTTGACGGCCACGTTCTCGCCCTGCCACTGGCCTCGCCACACCTCGCCGTACCGGCCCTTGCCTTGCCACGGGAGAAACCATTAACACAGACAAGTCACTTAAATGCCCCCGCCAACCCACCCCCCAAAAAAAAAAAAAAAATTGGCACTGACACTCACCTACACACTCCATCAGACTAATCTGCCTGGCAACAGTCCTCTGAACCAGGAAAGGAAGGCCCGACCCACTTCCCGATGTGCACGAGTGGTCCAGCAGGTCCTTGAAAGCCAAGACGGACCCGTTGAGTCAGCGCTACAGCTTCGCGGTGAGTGGCCGGCCACTTTGTGTTGTTCTTACGGCTAAAGTGGTGTCCCCCACGTTGGAGGTCACGAGTCCGTCCACGGCGCCCTGCTCGGTATCGAACTCCTGCAGCCTGTGCAGGTTCCCGCGGTGGAGCCTCCTGCAGGCCAACGCCGACGCCACCGACAGCAACGCCAGCGCCGCCAGCAGGCCCAGCGCCAGGAGAGCCAGCGTGCCCGCGCCGTAGCCCACCGGCTCGCCCTGCGGAGCTACGCCATCGGCGGGAGGTGAGGACACAGGATGATACCAAACGAAATTCCGTTATACGTAATTACTGTGCAAAACGTTTTGGTGGCATGCTATCGCCAACAAACTTTTCCCACAAAAATCAGCGGTTGGCAAATCCGAAAGGCGCACACGCACGGGGGTCCACCGTACATCAAAGTTGGACGGTGAGCGTTTCGGTCGTGTACCTGAAGGCAGCAAGGCGATGACGGCGCTCCTGGTGGTGTTGCCGTTGCACAGGTGTTGCGAGCAGCAGCGGATGGCCTGGTGGGAGGAAGGCGCCGTGGAACAGTGCAGCCGCGTCTTCTTGGGACCCTCCAGGCAGCCGCGCTCAAACACGACGCCGCCGGAGCCCACCCGCACCGACGAGAAGCAGCGGGTGCCGCGGCACTGTTCCTGCAGGCACTTGGGACTGTCGCACAGGCACAGCAGCTGACCCTCTGACAGGGGAGACGCAGACGTCACATACGGGGCTCGCCAGCTAAGTACTCCGCGGGGGTTGCTCGGCTTTTTGTGGGCATTTTCTTTTTCATTTGACCCTTGGCCCTGTGTAAGAAGTTTCCGACTATAAATGACACTTTTCATAGTTTGGCTGGTTCAGCGAGTTATACTCGGGTACTACTTGTACAGAGCTCGATTGGCACCCAAGATCCTTGTTCCCCTAATTGTGTTGACTGCGGCGAACGAGCTCCAGCTAGATTCGAAGCTTCCGTTTTCAACGACAGAAGAGTTTTTTTTTTTCTTTTTAGTTTAAAATGGCTTACCTTAACTCGAATCCCATTGTGGCCAAAAGGAGAATCCTGGTTGGCTATTGCGCTTTATAATGCTGTAAACCATTTCAGTGGCGGAAGCTAAACTTGTAATACGTCACACATTTATTGAAATGACTACTTCATCTTTTTCAAATTCTCTTGGCAATTGGTTCATAGTTTTGGTGTATTACCGCCACCTTGAGGTAATTCAATTTCTATTTAAATGAAGCCACCCAGTATGTGTGTAGTTAATTCATTGACTTATTGATATAGTGTCTACACAAGTTGACTGTCTTTCATATGAACCGATCGCCCCTTTTTTTTTTCGCGTCATCCGAAACTATAAGACCCCTCCAAAAAATGTGTTAAGTTGTTGCCCAATACCTGAGCTCTCAGCTGATGTCTGCAAGGCCCGCAGGGAGAGCAGCAGCAACAGCGGCAGCGGGGGGACGTGGACGCTCCTAGCCGCCATGGTTCAGTGCACTGGAGCAGGCAGGAAAACAGGACAGTAAATACACAAGGCAGAAGCTTACAAAAGAGGATAATTGCATTTACGCCCCCTGATGTTTGCCAACATCTCCTAATTGCATTTAATTGTGGCTGGAGGACAACGTACCAAGCTTGCAAGCGTCGCACTTTCTCAAACAGCCTCGAGCTACTTAACATGTTAGTTGAAGTCGCTAAACAGCAGTTTCCTTTGCAAACGGCACCCATGTTAACGGTTAGTATTGAAGAGAAAGGCCATCTCCCCCCCAACGGTATCAATAGTTGAGGTTTTAGAACAGGGGTGGGCAATCCCAGTCCTGGAGGGCCCACCTCTGTTTTAGAATCAAAGGACATTTGAAAACAAACGGCGGAGAACACATATAAACATATAATACTCACAGGCATATATTCTTTATCCTCTGAAAACTGCCTAATAAAGCATCTTACTGAGTCATTTAAGTAGTACAAGTCCTGTTCTTTGTGTCTGCATGACTGTCTCTGCCTTCTGGTGACGAAATCAGGTACACCAAAAGTAGCAGTACGATAACTTGGTTTGCGGCATAAAATAGTTTTTTAAAATAATTAATTATTCTATTCAATCATCTAATTACTCCGTTTTTAATACAGTGGGTGAAAGAGTATTATTTTTTTTTCCTCACTGAGGCGGTAGCTGGAAAGGACAAATGGTACTTTCTAATTCATTTCATCGGGGAATGAAAGTTTCAGAAACGCGTGTTTTGAGTCACGAGCATGGTCAGGGAACAAACTGAACTCGCATCTGAAGGCACAACTATACCAGTAAGCCAGATGAACACCTTTTACGTGACTCTTACAAGCGGTTTCAACGAGGGCTGAACATTCAGTTAAATTCATACCAGCATCGCAATTTAGTAAAATGCCAATTTTTTTTTTCACATGACAAAAGCTGCTTTTTTTTTTTCCCCTCCAAAATAGTCCAGCCCTAGTTAAAACGCAAATGTCGGCGTTCAAGGCAGGAAAACGGCGTTGCTTTCTGTAGCCAGAGAGGCACGCAAACGAGGCGCTTTATGAGCCCAACATCGCCGCCTCCAAGGCGCCACTCAAGGCAGAAAAGATGCCCGACGCCGCTCCAGTTTAGCCTAGCCGAGCTAAGGTGGGCTGCAGGACGGAGCAAAGCCCGCGCGGGACGCTGACACGAACAAGGCGGTGTAATGATTTTACCCACCTAGCACACAACGGACGACGGATTGTACATCATCGTGTCACGCCTCGTTGACCTTATATTGGGTAGAAATTGTTAAGACTTTTTTTTTTTTTTTGCGCCTCCTCTCGGGCCACAGCCCAGCCCACCTACTCGCACGCTTGTTTTGTTCCAGCCTCACCTGACGTCACAACAACCCAGGTGCATTGTGGGCCGGTGACTTCTGAGATGTGTGAAACGCAGCGTACCCAAATTGCGATGCAAAAAAGCGTTTTCCTTGACAAACTAAGATAAGGCATTGTTACCCAACTTCGTACACACATATGTACCCCAAGCAATACGAAATGAGTCCCTCGAATGGTCACATGCCGATACGCCAGCGCGCTGTAGCACCGCGGGTAACCGACGTGCCTACTTTGCGGCCATGTTGGAAGGGACAAAGTTGCCATCAAAGTCAATGCATTGAGATTGAAATTCAGTCGTAACTTGGTCATTTCTTAACCAGTTTTCATGAGCTTTTTTTTTTGTCAATGCCAAAACGTATGCTACCACTACAGCACATTTGAAGTAAAAAAAAAAAAAAAACTTTCTAAAATTACCTGTGATGCCGCCATCCTGTTTGTGTTTGTTTGTTTGTTGTTGTTGTTGTTGTTGTTGTTTTCTCCCAGTCCAGCTTGATACATTGAACACTAATCTAGCTCGAAATAATCAAACCTGGCAACGCAGCGTAAGGTGGGGTTTAAGAACGAAACAATAAACATTTTACTTTTTTTAAATTGAATCTCATTTGATATACTGTACTAAAGATGATCAGTAAACCGAGCAAAAATACATATATATGGCAAATATTTATAAAGTAATATTTGACTGTAACAACTCTGAATGTGTATGTAAATTACTATCATTTGTACAAATCAAAACAAGCATTCAATGCACTTTTTTTTAACCCGTGACCTCTGCACCGTGAGGTGGACGTGCTAACCAGTCGACCACCGTGTCGCCCTCACTCAATATAATAAATACAAAATGTATACGTAAAATTGTTTATTTCATTCGATCAATTATTCTGTGTATTTGATTGTGTAGATAAACGATTAGAAAATACAATTTTCTATGTGGGACTCTTTGAGAGCAGGTGCGATTTGAGAAGTATGCTCGGCGCTTCCTTGTTCGCTCATGTGTGCACTTGGAGGATCGTATGGAAGAACCCTCCCAAATGTTCTCTTCAAAGTTGCACTAAAACAATGTGCCCTTTCATGTCTCCACCGGGCTTCCACAGCTCAAGTGACATTCATTTCAGCCTCCTTTCTCTTTGTCAAAATACTCGGGACGTCACGAAAAGCGATTTGAATCGGAAAATCGTTTTTCATCTCTTTTCAACAGAGTAAAATAACGGTACTGTATCGCACGCCCGTCTCCAAGTTCGATCCATCCTTTTTTTCCCCGTTGTGCAGCTGCTGCATTTATTTGGCTTTACCTGTCCGTCGAGGTGCATCAACGGCAGCGCTGCTCATACTGTTGATCGCCCACCACTACCTGTGCTCTTCACAGAGCCGCATTGTCCGCACATTTTTTTTTCTCTTAATTAAAGACTGCCAGTCTGCTCTTAGTGACCTGAAGCACCCCCACCCCCCACCCCCGCTCCACATGAAGGGGAAACACTATCCCTGCTATCCTATCCACTGATGGAAATAGGATTAGACACCGGGAATAATGCGCCCTAAGATTTTCGCTTGAGCGACTTTTTTTTTTTCCCCCTCCTAGCCTTGCGGTGAAATCTTGATGCTTTGCATCCTGAGTGGTCTGACCAGAGCGGACATGGAGCTTTTCGGGGCAACGTCAACTTGGATGTTCGTGCTGCACTTGCTTTCTGTCAACGGTGTCGTCAATCCAAAGACAACAGGTAGGAGCATCGGCGTTTTGTTGTTGTTGTTGTTTGGTTGTAAATTAAAAAAAAAAAAAAATCCTTTTGAAATCAACCGCATCATGATCAATTCAAAGCAATCCACCTTCAAAGTCGTTCAGGACACACACAACAATTGCACATTCCAAAAATTCCCATTTTGTCTCCCGATACGATGTCTGAATGAAGAGATTTGACATCTTTCCATCCTCTTTCCTCATTTCATAACTACTCCATCTGGAAAGTGTTCAGCTCATTCAGGGCATCTTGGGAACTCTTCATCATCTTCTTTAAATTCCTCAATTTTCACAATAAAATCACCAAATGAAGAGATTTAAGGACTGGTTGATTCATGACAACTGGGGTGTCAAACTCATTTTTGTCGCGGGCCACATTAAAGTTACCGTTTCCCTTGGAATGCCGATATGACTGAAACTGTATACAGAAGTCAGGAAGAACGGTTTATTCGACTATTGTGTAAGTTAGGTAATGAGTGGTTTGGTGACAAGAAAATGCTTACAATATCTCTTTTATTTTTTTACAAATGAGAAGTTGAAAATTTGTTTCAGATTTAGCCAGAATCACGCAAGTTCACGTTTGATTTGCTTTCACGGGCCACATAAAATGATGTTGCAGGGCCAGATCTGGCCCCCGCGCCTTGAGTTTGACACCTATGCCTTACAATATATAACGACGACACTTTCTCGTGTGTATTTGCGCGCCCAAGTGTCCTGGTGCGTCACATCGGACTCGGAGGAGCAGAAATGCGCCGACCTGTCCGGGAACGCCACCGCTCGGAATATCCGAGGGACTTTGCAATGCGTGCGAGGCCTCAACGCCAGAGACTGCATGGAGAAAATACAAGTACGTCGACAAACACACCTGAGAAAATGTAACTTTGGCCATTCACTTGAAAATGCTGAAACAACATTTTTTTTATCTTTTATTTTTCTCAGAATGGGAGCGCTGACGCGGCCTCCATGTTTGCGGATGACATCTACGCTGCGGGCCTGTGTCACGGCCTGGAGGTGGCAGCCGGGGAGTCCCTCAATGGAGTGGGTAGGAATGCAGCTGACAGATCTCTCACATCATCATCATGTTGTATGATAGCCAAAGATATACAATCCCGGTGGGTTAATGTGGCGGGGGGGTCATTTGTTGCCACCACAAACCGTTGGTTGTTGTGCAGAAAAACTCGTCTTTCAAAAGTATAACCCACATGAGTCATCATCCCGTCCCGATGGATCTGTCGACCAGATGGCGTGAACTACTACGTGGTGGCGTTGGCTCGCCGCTCGTCGTCCGACTTGTCCCTGCTGGAGATGCACGAACGCAGCTCGTGCCACCCGGGCATCCGCACCACGGTGGGTTGGACCGTGCCCGTCGGCTACCTGCTCAACACCTCGCAGATCAGCCCGGGACACCAGTGCAACTTCCCCCGCGGTGAGAACATGTATATGTACATTTTTTTTTTTTTTTTTTGCAAATGGCTGACACAAGATTGTTAGCTGGCATGGCACATCTTCTAAGGAGAACGAATGAGCACTTTTTTGCTACCAACTGTGAATTGCCAGTTATATATTTTTTTTCTATTTCATTATTTTATTTTACAAACTCACTTTATAATACTTATTATAATTTGTATTATTATTATTAAGATTGCTATGATGTTGTAATGATTATTATTTGTCTTTTTGATTCAAACTAAAAATGTAACCATTTTTTTTTTTTTATGAGTTTTATTTGCTTGATTTTAACTTTTTAATATTTGGTTAGTAATATTAATGTTCTATATTTTTTAATTAGATTTGAATGTTCTGATAAATACTTGTATTTCTGGTAATTGGTTGTATTTTATGATTTGTTTTTTTATTTCAATATTTTCATGACTTTAATTATTATTAATAATATTGCAGTTATTATAGCATTCATTTTCAATTTGATGTGACCAATTTGTTATTCTTAATGATACCTTCAAAAATTGTGTTCTGTTCTAATTACATATGAAAATATTTTGACATTATTTATGTATTTTGTGTGCGTGTGTGTTCGCGTGCGTGCGTGCGTGCGTGTGTGTGTGCGTGCGTGCGTGCGTGCGTGCGCGCTCCTTCCCGTATTCCCCACACCCCAGCGGTGGGGAACTTGTTCGGCTACAGCTGTGTGCCCGGCGTCAAAGACCCCCAACACGACCCCCGGGGCAACAACCCAAAGAACCTGTGCGAGGCCTGCATCGGCGATAACGAATAGTTTTTTTCAGAGTTTAAGCTGTTGTAGCTTTTTTTTCCTCTTTAAAGAGACCTCGAAGGTGGAAAAATGGCTCAAGTTGTGTTGCAGATGTGAAGCGGAGTTGACAGAAACGGTGCTTCTTTAACGAAGCGCGAGTTCACCCCCACTCACCCATTTTTAATATACTTAGATTTATTTGTATACTTTTTGTCTTCTACTTTATCCCTTTCATAATTTCATTAACACGTTGGGTTAGGGTTTCAAATATGAGTTAGGGTTTCAAAGTAGGGTTTCAAATTTGGGTTAGGATTTCAAAGTAGGGTTAGGGTTTCAATGTAGGGTTTCAAAGTAGGGTTATCTGCTCAGGTTAAGGTTTCATTGTAGTGTTGCAAACTAAGATTAGGGTTTCAAACTAGGGTTAGGGTTTCAAAGTACGGTTAGGGTTTCAAGTAGGGTTTCAAACTTGGGTTAGGGTTTCAAGTTCAGCTTAGGGTTTCAAACTAGGGTTAGGGTTTCAAAGTAGGGTTTCAAATGTGGGTTATAAACTCGGGTTAGGGTTTCATTGTAGTGTTGCAAACTAAGATTAGGGTTTCAAACTAGGGTTAGGGTTTCAAAGTACGGTTAGGGTTTCAAGTAGGGTTTCAAACTTGGGTTAGGGTTTCAAGTTCAGCTTAGGGTTTCAAACTAGGGTTAAGGTTTCAAACTAGAATTAGGGTTTCAAATTAGGGTTAGGGTTTCAATGTTGGGTTTCAAACTAGGGTTGCAAACTAAGGTTAGGGTTTCAACCTAGGGTTAGGGTTTCAAAGTAGGGTTGGGGTTTCAAGTAGGGTTAGGGTTTCAATGTAGGGTTTCAAACTAGGGTTAAGGTTTCAAACGAGAATTAGGGTTTCAAATTAGGGTTAGGGGTTCAATGTTGGGTTTCAAACTAGGGTTAGGGTTTCAAACTAGTGTTAGGGTTTCAAATTAGGGTGAGGGTTTCAATGTTGGGTTTGAAATACGGGTTAGGGTTTGAAAGTAGGGTTTGAGTTTCAAAGTAGGGTTTGGGTTTTTAAAGTAGGCTTTCAATTTAGGGTTCGGGTTTCAATAACTTCTTAAGTATCCTGGAATACTCCATTTTTTTTCCTGAGCAACGAAATCCCCCACGCCACAGCCCTCTGAAATCCTGTGGCCTCACCTCACATCCAGGCAGGAACCAGGACTCGTGGGCTCTGGACGTGGAGGCCGAGGACCTGAAGCTCCTTTGCCCCGACGGCACCGAGGCCGACCTGGACGACTTCCGCCGCTGCCCCCT